TTGTTTGTATTGTCGTTGGTCGTTAGCAGCAAGCCAAACACACATTTACTACACGAATTTTCCCATTACAACTTTATCCACTTTTTGGAGCATGAGAAAATGTTTTTTCCTAATCAACCAAGTAAAACAAACGATAAAAAATTATTTCATTCATTCATTCATTCATGTCTATCATGCAAAGAAAAATCTCATTTAAAAAAATAAATAAGAAAATTTTTTGTTGTTTTTTACAACGGAAAAAACTAATTTAATTAAAAAAACTTAGTTCAATTATGATGATGATCATTATTATTATTATTGTCATGAATGATGAATAAATGATTGAAATGAATGAATGAATGGAAAGAAAAAACAAAGCAGCGAACTAAACGGAACAATCTTGTACAGCAATCTGCAGCCAATGGATTCGGATGGATCATGTTTTTTTGGCATTGTTCTGACTAGCTTCGAAACCAAACGACTTAGTTATTATTATTATTATTATTTTAATTGTTATTAGGTAAATGATATCATAACATTTTTTTCTGTTATTTTTTTACCTAGCAAAAAATCTGTTCAACAAACATACAAGCAAAAGAGACAAAGGTATATTTAATTAATTAATTTTCTCGCCTACACATACAAGGAATATAATCAGAATTATAATTACATGACAAAGAATGAGGCTGCCATTCATTTCATTCCTTCATTATTCTCTTTTGATTTATTTTAATAATAAATGAATTGGAACAAAAAATATGACTTTCATTTTGGGGATATGAATATTCAAATTTGGCATGCAAAAAATTCCTAGTCAAACAAAGACCATGACAGACAAAAGACAACCATGGTACCAGTCGACACATACACAACCAATAAAAAAGTTTTCATTCATTCAACATTCATTTTTTTGTGTTGTAATTTATAAATGTTAAATTATTGCGTAAATTGATGAATGATGTTCTTTTCATCTGGAAGAATATTTTCAAAGAAAAAACCAAAGAATGAAACGAAATGGAAATAAGTATTGATCTGGTGAAACAAGAATTTCTAAGACCATTTCCAAGCTCCGGAAAGAGAAAAAAATTTGAAATTTGAAAGATTTTCAAGTTTTTTTTCTTCTGGAAACATCATCAGCAAAAACTTGAATTTTTTTTTAAGTTTTCAATGTTTTTCTTATTGTTTTTCAACTTGATTCTTGTAAGAATTCATGATGATGATGATGATGATGATAATGATGACGACAATTTTTGCTGAAACAGCTAAAATTTAGTTAAGTTCACATCATTTGTCGATTGTTGCCAACAATATGAATAGACAAAAGAAACAGAAACAGGTCGCTGGAACATGAATATTGAAGAAGAGAAAAAAATGAAAAAATTTTCATCTTTTTTTTACAATTTCTCGACAATTAATTATCCTGAAGAAACAGAAAAACTTTCATTTTCCAATTTCTAATGAATATTATGGAATCGAAAAATGAAACAAATTCAATTCAATTCCGCAAAAAAAAAGGAAATTCAAATCGAGACAAGTCAAATGACAAATGGTCGGAAATTGGAAATAAATATAGCAATTTGAAGCAAGCAAGCAAAACAACAAAAAGCGATGATACAAAATGGGAATATCTAGTTGTTTCTTGTTTTTGGTTGGATAAATTCCATAGAAAAAGGATTAGCAAAAAGAGAATAACAACAACAACAAAAACAATGTTTATTTCATTTTCCATGTAACATTCTTTACATTCATTTTTTTTTTGCTTTTGTTGTTCACAACTGTCATCAAATGTTCTTTTGGTTAACAGTGGTCAAACGAAACGAACTAAAGAACGAAAATAAGTCGAAAATTAATGAGCATACATAGCGATCAATGAACGAACGAAAATGAAGAAAAAAAAACGATAATTAAATCAAGCAAATAAATGAAACGACGACCAAAAAAAATGGTCGAATGAAATGAATGAATGAAAAACAGAACAAACAAACAAACAAGAAAAAAAAATTGAATAAGAATTCCAGTATGATCATATTATCATTGTTTTGTTTTTGTCTTGTTCGTTTGTTTGGCCAATGTTTGATGCTTCAAACGAATGAAAAAAACCAATTCCATTTCCCTATGTCCTCTCTCTTTTTCTTTTTCACTCATACAGAATGTGATATGAGATTATAAATTGGTCGATGGGTGTGGGTTTGCTTTCAGCAAATTCTCGGGATTGTTTACTGTTTTGTATACTGCTGTATTAATGAATCGGTCAACATATAAATGTAATATTTGAATCGAATTGAATACTAGAACAAAAAAAAAACGATAGCAACGATAGCCAAGCGACCGACCGAAAATCAACAATAGTTAATGGCCATTGTTAATCTTCATTAATTTAGAGAAAGAAAAAGATACACACACACACAGAGAGAGAATGTCATACGAAAAAAATGTTACGCAAACAAATAAATCGACCACAAATCCACCAACACACTATACACACATTGCTAAAATAACCAATCACCATACCAACAAAATACTGATTTTGGGGAAAAGAAATCTTTCAATCAATAAAATGAATAGCCAATTCAATTCACACCATTTTAATTCCAACAACAACGAGAAAAAAGAATGGCACCAATACAAATCACAGTGTGACAAACGCTAATTGGTTTGTGCAAAGAAAATTTATATTTATTATTACATAAAGCCATATACAATGTGAATATGGTCATTCAATTTGGACACACAGACACACACACACACAGAAAGAGAATATATTGGAGAAAAACCACCAAAATAATATTAATTTTCAAATAAAGATTCAATTTACAGAATGTCATCATCATAATCATAATCATCAAGAATTTCAGCCAAACCTAAACCTAAAGCATATTTTTCATATTGCGGAAATCTCATTTGAAGTGGCTACGATGATGATGATGATGAGAAATTCTTATTTGTTAGGGCCATTAGACATATAATAAATCCATTATATCCATCCATTTTCAAAACATTGTTGTTCCAGTAACCAAAATCTTTTTTTTCCCTATGAAAATATATCAAGAACTGTCTATTGTCTATGTGGCGGCAGAGCAGGGATGTGCCGACATTTTCTTTTGAAAAAAAATCATCTGGATGATGATTTTCTTCACAAAAACAACAAGGAAAAATACAGAGGCGGTGTCGGCTAGCAAAAAATAAAAAAAAAGTTTTTTAGCCCAAAAACGAATGAAACACGCGCATTTACAAAGAAAATTATGAAAAAATGGAAAATTATAGCTGCCTAATTTGAATTTTGTTGCTGTTGTTTGTTTGTGGTTCTTCCTTTTGTTACGTGTTTCATTTTCTCCGATGAAACTTTATTATTATTATTTTGTTTCCATCATCATATCGCCATCATCATTATGATCGAGTTTTGTTGTTAATACAACATTCTATTACCTGATGATGGTTTTTTTGTGTTTGTTTCCCTAGTTTTTCGTTTTTTATCGGGCAACTCCTTGTTGTTGTTTGCATTGAAATTATTATTATTTTTTAATACATTATCATTATGAAATATCAGAGAAGAAAAAACAACATAGAAAAACTATGTGCATAGGCAATAACAAACGAACGAAAGAACCAAAATGAATTTTTTCATATGAATTTAGTGTGTCCTAATATAGATCAAAATCAAGATCAATGATGATGGTGTATATAAGTGACTTTTTTTTCAATTTTTCAAAAACCCAACAAAAAAAAATGATTTTACTAAATGATTCTTTTTTTTCACTTACTTAGCTATTCTTTCGTTTCTAGCAAAAGATACAAACAAAAAATGGAAAAAGATAAAATCATTTTTTTTACTAAAATAAAACATCAATTTTCGAGCCCATATTTACATTATTATCATCATACATTTAGACGATATGGTTGGATATCCATTATTATTACTAAACCAAAAAAAAAAAGATAGATTGATGTTGTCAATGTCAAGAAAGACAGAAGGAAGAAGAAGATATGTTATCAATTGATCTATGCCATATGCCATTGTATAATGGATTATTCAAAAAAAAAATGAGAATGAGAATGAATCAAAAGTCAATCAAAAAGTTGAATAATTTTTCTTTTATTTTTCAAATTGATGATGTTGATGATGATTACATGACAACAAGATTGGATAGCATGGCACCCATAACTTGACAAAAAACAAATTAAGAAATTTTTAAATAAAAAAAAATTCAATGTCTATCACCCATCAATATCAATGATAATAATGAGGATGTTTTATAACAAAATTTGACTTTAGCTAAGGCCAAACCCTCAAAAAAGTTAAAAAGCTTTTTTATTCAAGATTCTTTTTTTTTCTTCATTGAATTCCTGGGCGGGAAATCAAACATCTGGTCTTATGGTATTTTCCTATAGAAAAAAAATGATTCATTGACAATTCGTTAATGACGATGATGATGATGAGAGTATGTCAAATGTAAAGAGACCGAACAAAAAAAAAACAGTGAGAATATTATTATTACATCATCATCATTTCTAAAAAAAAAACTTGAGTAAAATTAACAGCGAAAAAAATTTGTAGCAAACGAAGCAAAATATTCTCGACACTAAATTTTAATTTACAATTTCATTTTTTTCAATCATTTTTACAATGACAATTCTTTTGCTACAACGAAACAACAACAGCGGAAAATAAAATATTAAAAAGATGACAAAAATATGATCATCATGATGATGATGATGATTATAAGATACATTGGTACCGATCTTCATTTTTTTGTGCGAATAAAATATGTAATTACATCAAACAGGAACATTGTGTAAAAAAATGAATGGATATAGTGTAGGCGATAGATATTATCCAAGAACATTATTATCATCGAATGAAATGAAACGAAACGAAAATTGATTGCCAAAATCAAAAAAAAAAATGATGATCAATATGATGATACAGGGAGGAAAAAATGAAATAAACTTAAAATGTCCAAAGCAAGAAATGAAAAAGAAAAAAGAAAACTTTAATCTAAAAACATTTGTGTGACACCTACCTGAACGACGAGCATCAACCTGTACAGTAATTGATGTAAAAAATATTAATGCTGTTGCTGCAATCATTATTAGATAGAATTGCATTGTTATCGACATTATATGAATTGATGATGAGGAAGATGATGAAATATTATTTACAATATTGATTGATGAGAATCGATTATTATGATGATGATCGCTAACATCATCGTCGGCAGAATGATTATGATTATGTTTGAATTTCATTTTTGCCATTTTCAAACGTGTTGGATAATCGTATTGTGATAATAATGCTGTTGTCGTTTTCGTTGTCGTTGATTTGGACAATTTTGATGTGGATGATGAAGAGCAATTTGAATGCTCAAATAATGATGAAAACAATGGTAAACGAGACATATCACAAAAAAAAACCACCATCACCGCCGCCACCAATAACAAAGTGAAAGCAAAAATGAAAACTGTTAATCGATTAAATTAAACCATTGAATCGATTGAAATGAACGAAAAAAAATAAGGGTAGGGCGTCGATGACCAATCAGTAAAATTGCGAAAATCTTTGGGAACAATGTCAAATGGACAATATGATGATTAAATCGCAATGGATCAAATTTCGCCTAAAATCTAAATAAGGATAGAAGAAAAAAAATGGGATTAGTTTTTCATGGGATGAAAATTCATATTATTAATCACAGAAAAAAATGAAATTCCAAGTCATATTGTTTATATGATAAAACCTTTTGATTTACTTATGTATTTCCATGGTCATTGTTTTTTTGTTTTGTTTTGTTTTGCGAATGCAAATTTACATTTTTTTTTCTCTTTACTCTTTCATTCAATTAATCAATGTGAAAGCTAAGTGTATTATCCATGTGCATATTTGTACAGAACACAATACACATACACATATTGTTTGTTTGTTGATTCAATCATAATGAAAAATAAAATTATCATTTCTGTATATTGGCCACCAGGATCAAACAAACAAACAAACAAAAAGGTAACAGAGCCAAATACAAAGAAAAGAAAAAGGAAAAAAATTCAATAATAAAAGATATCAGATAATGCAAAAACAACAACCATAGTATGGTTTTATTCCGAACCAAAAAGATACAAGCCATAAAAGATGATAAAGATGATGATGATGATGAATAAATCATAATTAAATATGTCTAGATATTATTTATGTTTTTGTTTTTCATTAGAATAAAAGTATGAATTTTTCATTCTTTCAAATGAAAAAACAGAGAGAGAGAGAGAGAGATAGATAACTAGAGAAGAAAATAATCTAGAGAAATAAATATTCAAGTGAATCAAATGAGACAGACTGAACCAAACAACCAAACAACAACAACAAAACAATTAGATTATAACTCAATTAATATTATGTCCATATGTGTCGGATCTGTTTTGAGTTTTTAGTTTAGTTTCTTTTTCATTCATTTCTTATAACATTAAGTTTTTCTTTCTTTTTCTTTTTTCACTATACGTTTTCTTCAAAGATGTTCATCATGCTTTTTTCGGTTAAATAATAATGATAATGATGATGATAACATCACAAAAATCATTTGATGATGATCATCATCAAATTGATCGTGATCAACGCCCGTGTAATTTTCGTTGTTTCGAAAATCGAAAATGAAAAAAAAGAAAGAAAATTTTCGGGTAAAATAAAATAAAAAAATTCAAACGATTGATGAACAACAACCTGTTAGCACGAGTAAAATGAAGAAAAACCACCACCGTCAACTTGGAAGAAATGAAAAAAAAAATCACATTAGTCATCATTATAAGGTTTGATTTCATTATTTCAAGTTACAATCATCATTATCATCATCATCCTGATGATGATAGAATTGGATTCGTAAATACATCTCTCTCACTCTCATCTATCTATCTATCTCAGGTGTTCAGCGAGAGGAAAAAAAGCAATGAAAATTGCCAACCACATTAAACACATACAGAGACAGACATATACAAAGTGTTAATCAACCACACAATGTTCAGTAGAAAACAACGATGTGAATAGAGCAGAACATAGCCAAAATTCAATTCATTCAACAACAAAAAAGGTGTTGCCCATAATAATAATAATTCTCGTCGCCATTGAATTTTTGTTATTTTTTTCATTTAAAACTTTTTGAAAATTATGGACAAAAATGATGATGTTCACATAATTCGCACAACACCATATGGATTATATGATGAATGAGCGAAAAAAAAGGATGGCAATTTGACGGGGAACAAAAAACTACATTTGCCATGATAATGATGATTGGTGGTCAGAGATTTCAATTTTTTTTTTTAAATCTTTAAAGCCGACCAAAATTATTTTACGTTAAAATGGCCATTGGCCCTTCTTCCATTTACCAAAGAAGAAGAATATTAGTTTTTTTTTTGGAAAACAGAAATATGAAACAGCCATTATGCTGATGATGATGATGATATTAATTTTAATGTTGAAAAAAATTTTAATCTCTCACACACACATTCTATCTTCCTATCTATATCTCTCAGTGTTTTAAGTGAAGAATTTTCCACTCATTTAGCTAATAAAGAAATTCCATTTCTGTACATTATTTTAAATTGATGAAAAAAAAATTCATCATTTAAATCAACAAAGTGAGAGAAACATTGATATGAAAATGACAACTAAAAAAAAATCAAATAACACATTTTTTTCCAGGTAAAATATCATCATCAAGCAACCAAGCAAAGCGAAATAATATTCATAATTGAGCAATTAAGATTAGCAAAAAAAAAAGGACAAATTAAGAGCATCACATTTAGCAAACAGAGAAAAAGTCATCAGTCATTCATTCATTCATTCGTATGAGAGTTTATTATTAATAATTTTTTTTAGCATCTTCAAAATGCATTTACTAGTTCTAGAAAATCATAATAACCATGATAATAATAATAATAAAACAATTTAGTGCTTATCATATCACTCGAAAGGTAATAAATCTGTTTTGAGTGTTTTTCATTTTTGTAGGGGGCAAAAAAAATGATTTACTATGATGATGATGAACAACCAACTAACCAACAGAAAAACAATCCGGATTGAATAATCGACGCTTCATCATTATCAAGCAAGAAAGAAAGAAATGAAATGAATATAGCCATTTTGGATAAGGTTTTTATCAGGTATTTTTTTGAAGGTTCAAGTCAATCAGTTTATGGTTTTTGGTGGTGGTGGTGGTTTTAAATACATATTTTGTTAGTTTTTTTGAAGTGAAATCCATTCAAAAAAATGATGATGATGAGATAAGGAGAATGGGTCAGATAAATTGACTAATTGTTTTTCAAAGCCAAAACAACAACAACAACAACAACAGAAAAACCCCGAAATTAAAAGAAAGATCAATTGCGAAAAAGATATTCAGTCACGAATATGATTATGGATGAGCGAAATAGACAAAAAAAAAAGTCGATGCTGCTTCCAGTTTTTTTCCAAGTATGATTGTTATATAAGAGAAAAACAAAACAAAAAAATGTAATCGACTTTTAATAATGATAATAATACCTGATGCCACTACCTAATCACCTAGTTTTCTTCGTTAAAACAAGATTCTTATATCCAAACAAACATTTAAAAACTGAAAGAAATTAAATGCAATTAAATCAAACGAATTTTCTATGGATTTTTTTTTTGCTTTAAAACTGTGATAATATCCAAGAGATTTCGATTTCTGATGAAAGTTTTTTTTTCATTCATTAATGATCATTTTGATGTTTAGATGTTTCATTTTTTTTACAAAAATGGTCATAATTATTGAATTAAAAAAAAGAAAATCCTTAATCATTTGATGTCAATCAAGAAAACAGAATTTGGGTCAACATTGTTGATGTTTATAATAATCATCGTTCCATATTGAAATTGTTAATTGAAAAAAAAATCATATACAATTTTTTTCAACAACAACAACAAACAACAAATAAACAGATAAGATGATGGTCATCTAAAAATGATGATGATGATAAAGTTCACTTTCTCTATATGTTTTGCTCTCCAAATCATCATGTACTAAATGGATTGACCATCATCTAATGATGATTATGGATGGCTATGGATGTTCATTTTTATGTTTCATCTTGATAAAATTTTATTTCTGATTGTTTAGTGGTCCGTTCAATTCAATAATGATAATGATGATGACAAGTAAAAGTACGATATGGTTGATCAAACAAAAACGAAAAAACTAAAGCAGCAACAAACCAAAAACANCTAGTTCTAGAAAATCATAATAACCATGATAATAATAATAATAATAAAACAATTTAGTGCTTATCATATCACTCGAAAGGTAATAAATCTGTTTTGAGTGTTTTTCATTTTTGTAGGGGGCAAAAAAAAATGATTTACTATGATGATGATGAACAACCAACCAACCAACTAACCAACAGAAAAACAATCCGAATTGAATAATCGACGCTTCATCATTATCAAGCAAGAAATGAAATGAAATGAATATAGCCATTTTGGATAAGGTTTTTATCAGGTATTTTTTTCATTTTGAAGGTTCAAGTCAATCAGTCTATGGTTTTTGGTGGTGGTGGTGGTTTTAAATACATATTTTGTTAGTTTTTGAAGTGAAATCCATTCAAAAAAAATGATGATGAGATAAGGAGAATGGGTCAGATAAATTGACTAATTGTTTTCAAAGCCAAAACAACAACAACAACATCAGAAAAACCCCGAAATTAAAAGAAAGATCAATCGAGAAAAGATATTCAGTCACGAATATGATTATGGATGAGCGAAATAGACAAAAAAAAGTCGATGCTGCTTCCAGTTTTTTTTCCAAGTATGATTGTTTTAGCTAAGAGAAAAACAAAACAAAAAAATGTAATCGACTTTTAATAATGATAATAATACCTGATGCCACTACCAAATCACCTAGTTTTTCTTCATTTAACAACAAGATTCTTTATATCCAAACATCAAAAACTGAAAAAAATTAAATGCAATTAAATCAAACGAATTTTCTATGGATTTTTTTTCGCTTAGAAAACTGTGATAATATCCAAGAGATTTCTATTTCTGATGAAAGTTTTTTTCTGTTTCTACTTTCATTCGTTAATGATGTTTAGATGTTTCATTTTTTTTTCTTACATTACAAAAATGGTCATAATTATTGAATTAAAAAAATCATTTGATGTCAATCAAGAAACAGAATTTGGGTCAACATTGTTTATAATAATATAATCGTTCCATATTGAAATTGTTAATTGAAAAAAAAAATCATATATACAATTTTTTTCAACAACAACGACAAACAAACAAACAAACAGATAAGATGATGGTCATCTAAAGATGATGATGATGATAAAGTTCACTTTCTCTACAATATATGTTGAGTTTTGCTCTCCAAATCATCGACAACAACAACAAATCTAGAACTAAATGGATTGACCATCTAATGATGATTATTGGATGGCTATGGATGTTCATTTTTATGTTTCATCTTGATAAAATTTTATTTCTGATTGTTTAGT